ACACACACAGGAGACATGCAGAAAACGTCAGTAACATTACGCTCCTCCCGTGAGACTGGCCCACAGCCTGGGGGGAGAAGAGTCGGGGTCTCTGAAATGACGTCACGTGACGGAAACAGGAACTGTGCACATGTGAACGGGCACAGTATTCCTGGAGGGCGACTGTGGTCTAGATGGAACATCGTTGTCCTCTGCAAAATTCGCTTTCTTAGATTTTCTTTCCTAAGACAGTACGTGACCGCGGAAAGGCGGCACTGGAAATGTAAGAGCGCTCACAACATGGTCACTAGCAACAGGGAAAAGCTGGAAACATCATACTTTTATGACCAGACGATAACTAATGGTGCATCCAGTACAGTGGAAAACTGGTGTCCCTAAAAAAGGTGACTGAAAGCGCCAAGGAGTTTCACCCGTTCAGCTTCCACTATTCACACAGTCCCTGATACGTGACAGACACTTAAAAACATCTACCGAGGCCATGACCATCTATCTGCAGATGTGGGAAGTTACTTTTTATTTGGAAGGGGAAAAAAGCTGCTTAGAAACCTGCATGTAACATACGTCCATGTGCATACTCAGGGCTGTCACGTGCTTGTACCTCTGGGTACAAACGCCCTCGATGGACACCTGCAACTCGGTAATGGCAGTGACCTCTAGACAAGGACCTGGGCAACCATCACAAGCCACACAGAGCCCTTTGCTTCTCTGCATGGCAGTTGTTTGAAATTCTTCCACGTGTCCATAAAACCTTGGGGGTTTCTGTGTGTGTGCACTGGTTTCTAATTTGTAAAGTCATGTAAGTGACCAGAAGTTTAGGAATGACATTTCACAATCCTGAAATGGTTACCTCTGGAAGAATCTTGTATGTGAGGGAATGCGTGTATGACTCTGGAGATCAAGACCTTCTCGTCTCAGATTTTAATTTCTGAAAACAGTCTGGTAATATTTAGAAAAGGGTGCTATTTCCCTTTTTCAAATAAATTATTTCAAAGTATATAGTCTGTAAATATTTGGAGAAGCAAAAAGGTTAAGAAGACCCAACGAGCCCTCCACGCCTCGCTACAGAAGCAGACAGTGCATGAGATGACGACCACTGCCAGGAGAGCCAGCTATCCTGTCTTCCGCAGTTCAAGTAGCTGGGAAATGTGTACTCTGGTAAATACAAAAGGCCACATGTTGTGTAATTCCATGTATATGAAATGTCCAGCATAAGCAAATCCACAGACATGGACAGACCGGTGGCTGCCAGGGGCTGGGGAA